AAAGTAATCATAAATTTTCATAATATTTTAAAATATATATTTTCTCTGTTATTAAGAATATGATTTGAATTTCGATAATATATATTTTTGAATTTGCATAATATGTATTAGAACATGAGAATTATGATATAAATTGACTTGTACTGGTTTTAGGATCCATGTTAAATAATATTTTAAAATTTAACGGACTACTGAATAAAATTTAAATATTTATTTAATTAATTTTTATAGTATTTACCCGCGTATTAATGCGGGTCGTATTCTAGAATATCTATAATCTCTAGTTACATCAGAATACGTATAAGCATATATATGTTTCTCTTTCAATTTGTGTAGTCTTTGTTGACCACAAAAAGCCCTTACTTTATATCCAAGAAACAGTTATAACCAACCGGCGTATGTGTTGATGGGAGGAATGTTGTGGATGCTGAGAAGTCGAGGAAGATAGGGTTTATTTTGTATTCGATTGGGAAGCCGTTGGGTCCATGGTTGAAGGAATTGCCTTTGGTTGCTTGAAGAAGGAGTTACCTTGTGTTACTTGTGAAAGAAGCTTCCTGTTACAGAACATAATACAACAGGTCATTGTTGTTTTGGTTCTAATTACCGATTCTGTAACTGATTCTTTAATATTTTTGACCAGCATCTTTTATTTTTCAAATTTTAAAAACCCGCAGTTAATTTTTTGTTTTCCAAGAAAGAAGCTTGAACGTTTTCCTTGAGCGTAATGGCATGTGCATGCATCCATCTATTTGTAGTAACGACATTTTACTTCTCAAATCTTTACTTCTTCTTTATTTGCTAATTACCGATGGGGAGATACAACCTCGAAAGTTGTCCCGCTTTCAATTTGCTGAATTGGTGTAACTATAAAGATCAAACACAAAATAGCAACCCTGCAAGAGGAATGTCCAAAGAAAAACAAAACAGGTTAAATTACAAATTTCTTGCAAAACAAGAAAATGAAATCAAGGTTGACGTTAGCTTCGCTTTCACGAACACTCCCATTCTCAAAACAATTTGGGAAAATTACTGCGGCAAGGGCTAACACAATAGAGAATGTCGTCTCGCGGCTATCGTTCAACGACGTTGGCCTTAAGTACTTAACTACGGCAGCAAAAGGCGGAGAGGCAGCGGCGAGGACTTCAGTGTGGTGGGATATTGAGAATTGCGGGGTCCCCAAAGGTTGTGACGGCCGTACGATTGCTCATAACATTACATCGGCTCTGCTGAAAATGAACTATTGTGGTTCGCTCACCATTTATGCATATGGTGACACCAATCGAATACCTTCTTCTGTGCGACAAGCTCTCTCTTCTACCGGCGTATCGCTAAATCACGTTCCTTCTGGTTAATTTCTCTCTTTATGTTGTTTTGTTACGGTTAGAATCAAACTATATAGTAGATAGTGCTTGGAAGTTTGTCCTAATAATGTGATTGTGTTCTTGGTGTTGGTGTGTTTTAAGCAGGAGTGAAAGACGGGAGTGATAAGAAGATCATTGTAGACATGTTATTGTGGGCTATGGAAAATCGAACTCCCGCTAATATTATGCTCATATCAGGTGATGGAGACTTCTCATATGTTCTTCACCAGCTGAAGATGAAGAAGTACAATATTCTTCTGGTACGACCTGAGATTGCATCTCCCTTTCTTATCACTGCTGCACAGACAGTATTGTCATATAGGAGCATAGTTGGACTTGGAGCTGGCTCTGGCGACAAGGCTCCTAAAAAAGCTGATCCAGGCAAACCTATGAGCTCAGATTTGGTCACTGAAAGCAAGAAGAGCCAGATATTTTGTCAAATATGCAGTGTTTCTTGCACAAACTTGGCTGCTTACAACTCTCACCTTTCTGGTAAAAAGCACAAGAAAAAGGTAATCTAATCTATGGTATCTTGTGTGTTTTTAGTTAGTGTGTGCTTGTTTTGTCGTCTCCTTAAGCACAATCTAGACTTCATCACTTCAATTTCTTGATCTTTAAAATCCATTCTTCATTTATAACTAAGTAGCCCATGATGTTAAGACTTTTACCGAGCAAAGATAGAAAGAAAGAAACTCGTAAATCTTTTAAAGAACCAACGAGATTAGATGTGTGGCACATATGTGTTTTACTTTTTGTGTTGATGGATAGTACTCTTTAGTTTAAAGCCTATTTCTCATTGGACTTTTTGTTGTTGTTCCTGTGTAGGCTAAGCTAGTAGCAAGTAAAAGCGCTCAGGTCAAAGCAAAAGCCTTGTGGTGTAACATTTGCCACGTCCATTTCCCGACAGTTGGGAAGGAAGAACATACCTCAGGACGAAAACACAAAAACAAACTTAAAGTTGAAGCCGGACATTCTCCTTAAGAGTGACAAAAATAAAATAAAAAACAAATGCACTCTTGGGGTTCCTAATTTCCAAACTTCATCTATTTCATAGCCGAGTTTATCTATTGGATATACTATTTTTGATAGATACATACTTATCTAGATATACAAAATCTTAACTAAAAAAAAAAAGAAGATTAAACACAACTACAATTTTGTATTGTAGTGTTGTGTCCACAAGAAATCCTATACGAAATATAGACTCTTAGGATTCTTTTATTCGTTTTTTCAGTTTCGTGTCAGGACTTGAACCAAGTATCCCCACTTCTTCTATCCATCCTGCATGTTGTCATTTTCTTTTCATTCCCTATTGGAATAAA